GACATTTGCAAGTGGGGGAACGAGGTAGTGAGTAAGGCGAAAGACGTGCCTGATGCGCAAGCGGGCAGCGTTGGCCGCTGTATGCTCATATTTTGGAAGAGCTATTGCGATGTAGTATAGGCTAAGAAATTGCCACGTAGCGCCAGATAGAATATCAACTCTGGATCTTCGCTGAATGATGATGAAGGGACTAATACAGCATTGTCAATTAAAGAACTATTGGTGTATACGTATGATGGTGTTTGATTGTTGGAGTTCGCTACTGCTGATCTCCCTTGCCTTTTATCTTATTATTATTATTATTATTATTATTATTATTATTGTTGTTGTTATTATTATTTATTATTTAGTAGTAAAATCAGACTTGTTTTCGTTGCCGCTTCTCGTGCATGCACGCGTGTGCTCAGCAAACCGATGACAAATGCTCACTCAGATCCCAGAGATGTGGTAATTGAGCCCACAGTTAGGATACAAGCTCGCTTCCACAGGATGGTGCACCAGCACTCACACATCACAACTCTTGTCCCGATGACCAACACCATGGTTCGCTTCGTACTTCAGGTCTGGATCATCCTGGGTAACCCACGCACACGCTCTACGCTCTACACCCGCATACAGACAAAATGACGGACTGAGAAACATAGATGTACTGACTGAGACATGCAAGCTAGATACACAGACTAAAGACGGACAGAGAAACAGGAACTGACAGAGGTGAGAGACGGACAGGTCACGAACTGCCAAAGCAAATACAGACAGTCATGAACAGAAGGAGGCAGCCATAGCTGAGCTGCTAGATGCTGTTAGACGCGGGTGATCTTTTGGTAAAAGTGGCATCTGTGTGTAGGGAAAGGAAGTTGTGAGGGTAGCGAGAGACGTACCGGAAGCATGCGGCATTGGTCGCTGCATGCTCATACTTCGGGAGGCTGTTGTCGTTAACCACGGTATTGTAGGCTAGGGTAACTAGATCTGCTACATGTAGTCCAGGCACCAAGCACGGATGGGATGACAACTCTAGTCCTTCATTGACAGTGATGATGGGACTATCTCAGCATTGCCAATTATGAACACTTGGTGTGCTCTTATTGGATGGATCTCGCAATACAGTTTTGCTGTTGGGGCAGGGTCAAGACTGTCTGGTCTTACATGTATAATGCTGGTTGATTGTTGAGGGTCGCTATTGCTCATATTTGTTATTATTATTATTATTATTGATATTTTTATTATTATTTTTATTTGATATTGTAGTCAGACTTGTCTCATTCACACTTTGCTTGCATGTAAACAGCAACACAGCAAACTGGCGACATGCGCCCACACAGTACTCAGAGATATCGCAACCAGATAAGAGTTCTCCTACAGTTGGCTATGGCGACTGTGCGCCCAAACAACTTGCTGTTCACACACACTGGGTCACCCTGAATGTCCCACACGCAATACACTGAACACTCACATAGTACACACACACTACACCCTATACTACAGCTTTGGCAGCTATGGATGCCGCTAACCTATCGCTATGGCTACGATGCTTCACTCTCGCCCACTTCGTCTTCGGGCCTCCTGCAGACCTCCTCGCCTAAGACGCTGAGACAGTGCTTCCGCATGGCTTCAGCATGAATGGGTCTGCCCTGTATCCCTGGCCCTTGGTGCACACAGTCCCCCATGGTACTTGCTGGGCCGGACTGGTACTTTCTGGACTCTGCCCTTGGCTGCATGGCGATGACCCTACGACTCAGTGCAGTTGCACTGGGGTTGCCATTTGACTTCGCCACTTGTCCCAGTCTAAAACGTGGGTCTGTTTTAGTCACATCACTTGACCATTTGCCGACCTTCTAGAAAAACTACAGCTAGACTCCTAATCTACAGGTCTACAGATCGAATCCCGGTTACCTACAGACCTACGACAGACCTACCTACTGCCTACGAATAAGCAGGTCAGAGATTCAACTCTCGGGATGTACACAGGTACTAGGCTGTAGTCCCAGGCACTTGGAGGCTGAATGCAGGTCACGCCAGCATTATGAAGTACGGGTCAGCTCCCCATTCAGCAAGGACTCGTTGGCATGAGTATGTAGAAGTACTGAGACGCTTGGTTGTCAGATGTGATTGAGCTGCGCCGGCGCCAGTTAATAGCAGAAGGGGTAGTTAGCGAGGAGGACTGATGAGGTCCTTGACTTGATGAGTGTGAGTAGATTGGGACTGTAGACAATGCAGGCGAGAGAGAGAAAAAGACGATCAGACCAGCAGACACAGACAAATCGACAGGCGCAATCGGACGAAACGAACCAGCATAGACAGATACAATCAGGCAAACAGATACAAACATACAGACAGATCAGACAAGCAAAAAGAAAGAAACTAACAAACGAACAGTCAGACATTCTCGTCAGACTTTCTCAAACGCACCTGTGGGGGAATATTTGTATATCTGTGTGTGTTTGTGTATGTGCGTATGTACACAGATTGTGGGTATGTGTTGCCATAGTGCGCTGTACAGCCGAGGAAAGTACGACTGTGCTTGATCAGTTTCACAGGTTTTTCGGTAAGGTCAGCAGGAAAAGGAACCTGGAAATACGACCTGCCCAGGGCTCATTTGGCTGGTGAATGAGGATTCGCCGCCATGCCCGTGGTTATGTGCCTGTGTGTGTGTGAAGAAGTATAAGAGAGGGAAATAAGAGCAGATAGACATGGTCGAATGGGAAAAGACAGTCGTGAAACAGTTTTCACCTTTGGCAGTAGCCGATGCAGATCCCAGGGGTCGATCCTTTGACCTCAGCTTACCTGTGTACAGTATCTGCACAGTTCCCTGGA